TCAGTTATCTTTCCCTCTTGGTGCGAAAGCTGTACGCGTTCCTTCTTCCTTTCCGACTCGTTTGGCCGACTTCTCCATCCCCCCCCGCTACTCCCTGAGTTCCTCCTCTCCGCTCTCGCCCTCTCTCCTCCCCCCCCCTCCCCCCCCCCCCTCTCTCTCTCTCTCACTCTCTCCCTCTCCCCCTCTCTCCCTCCCCCCCCCCCCCCCCCCCCTTCTCTCTTATTCAACTCTCCTTTTTATCTCTTGCTTGTGACTGCTCCGCTATCTGATCTTTCTCTCCCAATCAGTAGCAGAGATGAGGCTTCTTCCAAAATTTAGGCGAGGGTGCCATTCATTTCCGGTCGTCTTCTGGGATTCGCCCCTCCTCCCCTACTGCAGAAGGGTTTGGCCTTCTCCCTTGTTTTGGTGTGGGGAGGAGGGAGGAGGGAGGAGGGGGGGGGTGTTATCCTGTTTTTCCTCAGATCGGTCTGTTTATGAGTGCACCCGCAGCGGTTCTCCGTTCTCGTCTTGCATGCACTCTCCCGTCGTTTGCGTGTTCCTTCCCCTTCGAATGGCGACAAGCTAGGTGCGTTGTCTTCCAAGAGCACTGAAAGGCCCAGTTGATTGGTCTCTGCATTCGTGCTGCGGGTTAGTTGTATAGCCGTACGAGGGGGCGCGGGGGGCCAGGTAGGCGTGCATTTTGCACCGCTGCCCCCCCCCCCTCGTTTCGTGAGTTGAAGTCTGTCCCTCGTGCCGTCGGTAGATTCGCATGGTGTTGGTTTCCTAGTCGGACTGCCCTTGCAATTGATTGATTTTGTGGCACTTTGTATAATCACCAGCTCCTGTTCGGAGTGTGTAATTGAGAGCTTCCCGACCATCTCCTCTCTTTTTTGTCTCGATTGCTATTCTACATGCATAATCGCCTCGGATGGCTTGCTGTCCCACCCAGGGGTTCTTCCTCTCCTTCTTCTTGCTCGTATGCATGGATGCACAGCGATTGGCCTTCTTCCGCGTATCCCGACCCACTCCTCGTTGTGTTGGTTGCTGTTTCAGGGGTGTCTCCTTCGGTGGCTATTTCAAGGGGGGGGGTCTTCTTTTTCTTCTTCTTCTTCTTCTTCTTCTTCTTCTTCTTCTTCTTCTTCTTCTTCGTTGCCATTGCTGTTCTTCTCGTCTTTGTGTTTGGTTGTTTTTGTTGCTGTTCTGTTTAGGAAAACTCTCGACCGGGGAGCTGTGTTTTCAATCTAATTTCGTCTCACCTTTCTGGTCTTCTTCCCTTGAAGCCCTTTCATCCCATTCCTCTAGTATTTGAGTCCTGCCTGCTTTGATAGTGTTCTGTGGGTCATGTTATTTTCATGGACTCTTCTGTGGGATGTCTGCACAAAAAGAAGAAAAAGGTGATGATGATGATGATGATGAAGAAGAAGAAGAAGAAGAAGAAGAAGAAGAAGAACAAGAACAAGAAGAATGAAAATTGTACATGCGTGTAAAAGTGCGGAAAGCGATTTGGCCATTGCTTATCGTCTTCTACAGTTTCTTTTCTTCTCGTTTTCTTCTCCTACTGATGTGATTGTTCTTACCGTGCTCGTGTCAATTTGCAGCTCCTCCCCCCC